CCCTCCTAACCCAAATGGGTCTCCCTAGCTCGCCCTTATAAGAGATCTCGTCCCAACACCCCATACTATGCCGCGCGACCGGGGGGGGGCTGGAGAATTCTAGGAGATGAAGTCCACTCATCTTAAAGTGGCCAAGTTTGGACAACACTGCTCTAACTGAAAAGGTCATACTTTTTTAACATCCTACTTTACGTCTTCTTTAATACGTTCTTTGTTTCCTTACTTACGTCTCAGTATTTCCTATGAAATGTTTTCAGTGGCTCGCATGTCCTCCTAAACCAAGCATGTTTGTCACCTTGAGGGAAGCAAGTTAGAAATTTCTTAATAACTGCCTTGGCTGTCAAGTCACGCTTTTACAACCCGTGAGAGCTCATCTTGTCTTTTGTAACCCTCTGCTCTCATGTGTGCTCTTCATTTTCATAGGATCGTGTAGGATCCCCGTGAACTGGGATGCACCTTTTAGACCCAGGTCCCACAAGTATCCATTAATCATCTTCTCCCATGGACTAGGAGCCTTTCGGTGAGTTTGCCCAGGTGGGGTGGAACCCTGACCAGAAGGGCAGGAGATGAGGGTGCTGATGTGTGTATGTGAGATTGGGGTGCCCGAGTGACATTCATGCAAATCTCCCGGGGATCCTGGATGACTCTCGTCCACTCCATAGCAGAGGGCTTGATCTCCTCCTCTCTGTCTCAGTGGATATCACAGTGAGCAACCAGCAGGGCCCAAATCTCTCTCTTCCCATTGCCAGACTTCCTTTCTGACAGTGTCACTAACTTTGGGCAGCAGGTTGTCAAAAGTGGGTGGCAGGTTTTCCTCCCTATATCCCAGCATGCAGTCTTCTCATTTAATAATGCACTCAGTCCCTCTCCCCAAAACAGGGGTAGGGGAGCTAAATCCCACAGGGGGGACAGAAGCTGACCCACACAGGACCATCACCCCAGCCTCGAAGTCTTCAGTCCTCCCCGAAGCCTTAAGAAGTACAGCCTCCGGTCACCCCAAATGTGTCCCCCGATACATGCAGGTGAAGTGACTCTACATATGCAACTCATTTGCTGCTCCTCTTTTGCCTGTTGTGGGACATCCCCCCTCCCAGAGATTTGTAGGGCTCCCCTTTTACAGCTGTTCCAGAAATCACTGAAAACATGGCTCTGCTCCCAGGCCTGGGGTTAAGTAGATGCCAAGGCTTTGTTTTGCTGGCTTTGGGTATATCTGACTGTCTTACTCTTCTGCGTGCACATGTATTTTATTATTGTTCTGGGGGAGATGTCTTTGCGTGTATCGTAAGCCACCCAGAGTCTTTTGGGAGCCAGGTGGCCTCCAGAAGAAATAAACATGCATCTCTGGATCTCTGGGCAGGTTGGAGAGAAAGACCGGCAACGCCTGCATGTTGTGGGCTGAAGAAGGGGAGGCGAGGGCAATGGATCCAGATGTAGAGAGATTTTTTTTTCAAAAGGAGGGCAAGCAGTTAGGCAACTGTCCATGCTAGAGCTGAGAAAATCAAAAGTGGACGTGGGGAGAGGGAGGAAGTGGCCGAGGCATTGCCAACGTTTCAGCAAGCTCCGGGGCCACCGATTCAGACTGCAGAGTGCTTAAGGGGAAGTGGTAAATGTCAGGGTTGAAGCCTGCCTGGCTAAAACCTCAAACAGGGAAATTTCAGGCTGGCCGGCTGGCCACATCTTCAGGACCTTCCTAAGAGATCTTCTCCAGCCCTCCTACCTGAAATGCTTTTAACCCCAGAGCTGTCTCTGACCACAGTTGCTGAAAGTGGGTGCTGTAGTTTCATTTCACTTAGAGCTAGAGCGGTGTTTTTGAAACTCAGCAACTTTAAGATGTGTGGCCTTCAAAGAATTCTGGGAGTTGAAGTCCACACATCTCTGTGTGGACAACAAAGCTGCCAACTTTGAAAAACACTGAGCTAGAGGATGCTCAGATGGTTGGGGAAGCCCTGGAACTGGCTTAACATTAATCCCCTTAAAATCCAGTTGGAGCTTCAGTTGCACCATCACAACCACCATCTTGATTTTTGTTACCATATCTTGCAGACGCTTCTGCCCCCATTATTTTTTCTTTATCTTTGCTGATGTGTTTGTTTCAGTGCCAAATAATTTAGAAGAAGCAGCATTCCTCTGTTCCAATTATCTTCTTTCTCCTTCAATTTTCAGAACCGTATACTCAGCCATATGTGTTGAGATGGCTTCTCGAGGGTTTTTGGTGATGGCTCTTGAGCACAGGTGAGACCGAATCCCTTTAGAGAAGAAATTCTAAGAATAGATCCGTGTATTTATGGTTTTTAAAAATAAGCCTTTGATGCACTGTGGTTAGTCTTGTCCTAGAATCCAGTTTCGTGAGAGAAGTGGCCATGCTTTCAAGTAATTGTTGAACTGGGAGCCGGGAGTTTTGAAGCTCAGCTCATTTCATTTCAGTCTGGATCACCCTACCTATATATGCTAGGCCTGGATGCAAGTTCCAGAAATCCTTTCTTGGATTATTCTTTGATTTCAGAATTACAGCAACATGAGGCTAGGATTAGATCATGCCTCCTTCCCAGAAGAGTATTGTCACATAGACACAGAGGAAAATTGAGTAGAGATTTTAATGACACGTTGAAAAACTTTTGGCTTCAAGCAGGAGCTTAGAAAAAGTGGAGAAGCTGAAGGAGATTCCTTTTCTTCTTTACTTTCCCATCTGTTCTTGGCCCAAGCTGACACTCAAGGTACCTGCTCTTTTCAGAGACCGATCAGCATCTGCTACTTATTTTTACAAGCTGGATCCAGAAGCATCAGATTTCCCCGAGACTCAGATGCATGAAGAATGGCTCACGTACCGTGGGGTACCAAAAGATCAGAAGGAGTTTCGCTTCCGGAAACAGCAGGTATTTCATCTTGACCACCTCAGACAGCCAAGTACCTTAAGCCAGACTTGAATATCACAAACATCACCAAATAATCTGGTTTCTCTTCGCCTCCTGCTGTAATGTTGGGCTTAACTCTGTGTGTGAGAGAGAGAGTCAAAGAGTAATTCTAAAACTTTTCACCACAGCTCCATCAAAGAGCCAACGAGTGCATACGGGGACTCAAGCTGATCCGAAGTATCAACAGTGGTAAGGCCGTTGTGAACCTCCTGCACACTGATTTTGACCTCTCTGTGCTGAAGGTAAATATGCCGCACTCAATGCACACACAGGGATCCAAATGGCAGAAACAGCATGTGGTTGCACCACAGGCTCCTCCCCTTTTGAACATGCGCCTGATGTCTTGACGGGCCGAGAAAAGAGATGGGGTTCATGTCACCACGGAGCAATGCTGCTTTTGTCAGACGGGCCCGTTGGGCACCCCTCTCCCCCCGCAGACACCACAGCAGTATTTCTAATGGGCGAGTATTTTGGAAACCATCTTGAAATGATTTTATTGATAGTGGATATTTTATTATCCACTATGAATGCTTTTTCTGTCTGGTGTCTCAAATGTATTTTCCTGGGTATCTGAGATAGCTTACTTTTGCTCCCATTTTATAGATGGAGGGACTGAAGCTGACTTGCCTACCTTTGTGGCAAAGAAGCTTGCATCTTTTTCATGGGCTCCCCCCCCCCAATTCTTAACATGCCAAACGCCATTTGGTTACAATAAAAGCAGTTCAGGTGGGGTTACCAGAGGTCCAGCAAAAGGAAGACACGTCCTCCTTTTTGTCCTCATGTCCTCTGCCAGGCAGGCATAGCCTTAAAATCAAATATTGTCCAGCTTTCTGAGTATCTAACTAGCTATCTCTTCCTGACCAGGTTTCCTCTGGGAGCAGGGCTTCCCTAATAAGTGCTAACCTCCCTCTGCAACCTTAATTAGCTGATTATTCTGCTGCGTAAAATGGACAAGAACTTAATCACTTACGCACCGATTTCTTTTGCCTCTGAACTGGCTGTAGCACATTCCTGCAATTGAAAAACCGGTCTTTCTGATGCTAAAAAAGTAATTTTATGTACAGGTAGCCCCCAGGTTAAGAATGCCCAGGTTACAGATGACCCATAGTTAAGAATAGAGCCTACTGTAGCAAAATTCGAGTTAAATACACAATGATTCGAGTTCATTACACAGTACTACTTATACAGTAATGCTGTTCCGACTTACATACAAATTTGACTTAAGGACAGACCTTGGAATGGAACTTGTCCTTAAACTGGGGACTACTTGTACATGTAGGCCTAAGTACTTTTTGGGGGGCAGTTTTTCACTGTAATTTTTGTTGTGGATGCCAAGAAAGTGAAACAGTTCGTGGGTCCTCCTGTTCCCCATTTGTCCTCCCTTCCAGTTGTCCATGTCCTCCTTTGCCTGTTCACATATCCGGTAACCCTAAGTTCATCGGCTTATACGTTGTTAAATGTCCAAACCATATAAAAACCGAAACATGGAACTTCAGCCCGCACCCCCGTGCAGTGAAATGAAAAGCAGAAAGGATTGATTGAGCCACTCCTAAGGAGATGGGCTCTCCATTTTATGGTCTCTGCACCCCCTCCCCTGGCAGTCCCCCAGCTTATAAACCCAGGCAGTTCCAGTTGCAGCTGCCTGTCTCTCATTCCCAAAGACATCCCTGCAATGTTACTCTCAGCCACCAGGGGGAGCCAGGACCTGTTCTTCTCATAGAAGTGGACACCCATCTTGTCCACATGGAAAGTACATGAGAACAGAACCAGTAGAAAAATGAGACACATTGTTATTATATTTTAATCCTGCCTTTTTTTTTTAATTTGGTCAATTCAAGGCATTGAACATACCTCCTGCCTCCTATTTTCCCGATAACAAATGACGCAGCTTTCCCTCACCTGGTCTGTTCCAGAGTCACAGAATGACAACCCCCGACACCCACAACCACCATGGCAAACACCTAAACTTCAACAAAGCTCTGTTTAGTAGCCCTAGTTATTGTTTCCACAATAGCTAGCTTCTCTTTATTTATTTTTAAACGGTACTGCCACACATTAAACTAAATCCAGGTTCATAAAATACAGTGGTTCTGTTCATATAACATTTTATGCACCCACAAACCATAATATCATTTAATGCACTGGCCTGATTCACATGTGCAGAATGCTAAGACGATGGCTGGATTTTGCAACTAAGTGGAAATCATGCTTGGCAAATGTTGGGTTTGATGCCTTCCAGAATTCTTGTAGGGTAATTCTCTGAATGTTTCCTGTGGGGAAATTGGATTTGGGTATAATGGCTCTCTCTCCTCCATAAACCTGAGAGATTGTATCATCAATAGAATCCTAGATCTCTCCTTGTTCTTGTAGATGGATGGCCAGTCTGGGGTTCCCTAAACTACAACTCCCAGCATTCCTCACTATTGGACAGCTGGCTGGGCTTGCTGGGAGCTATGGTCCCAGTAACTAGAGAATTGCAGATTTCATTGCCACCCCTGGAGCGTTCCAACGTTGCACTTCGGAGATTGTTGGGTCATGACATTAATGAGCTAGCTTCCTTAAATTTCCCACCCCATCCATTGCAGGACAATGTGGATCTGACCAAAGTCGTCGTCATGGGCCACTCTTTTGGAGGAGCAACAGCCGTGCTAGCCCTTGTTAAAGAAGCCCAATTTAAGTGAGTATCTTCCAAAACTGCTGTAAAGGGATTTCTTTTTTTAAGAAAATGGTGACCTCAAAGAGCTTGTTAATAACAAATTACTATGTGGGAACCCAAGGTTTTGGTGTCCTGCTTTACCACATGCCGCGCACTTATTTTCCCCTGCAGATGCGCTATTGCCCTTGATGCATGGATGTTCCCTTTGGAGAATTCTGTCTACCCGAAAGTGACCAAGCCTGTACTTTTTATCAACACAGAGTCATTCCAGACTGCAGAAAGCGTGGCCAAAATGAAAAAAATCACCACCACCAGCAGCGAAACCAAGATCATAACAATCCTGTGAGTCTGCGCTGTCTCCAACGGTGATCAGCGCCTTGCTGTAGTAGTAGTGAATATACACACAGAGTAGGTGTCATTCACAGATTAGACACACAGTGTCTGCCTCCAGGCTTGCAGTCTAACTAGATGTGACACATGGAATGAGTAAAGGGGGGGAGGGGGAGGTTAAAAATAAGGTGAGATCTGAACTGAGAAGGAGGGACCATTTAGGAAAAAAAGGGGGGGGGAGTAAGTAGGAAAAAGATGGTAAACAACAAAGGACAGCATGGATTAGCAAAGCAAACAGGGTTGCATCGTTTTTTCCAATGAGAGAGTCTCTTTCCTGCTAAGTGATATAAAATTTATTTGGGATTTGGCATAGCACAAAATCAGAAAATCAGTTTGGCTTTGGAGATGCATTTTTGGAGAGGAATGCAAAACCAGACCCTTAAGCCTTTGAAAGGGAGACGCTACCAGATGGCTTGTTTCCCGCCCCCCCCTTCGGTGCCTGAAGGATAACACTTTGTAGAAAGGTTCCGACGCTCATTTCAGCCAGGAGTGCAACGGAAGCATCAGGTCTGCTTCTTAAAACAGCAGTAGCAAGGCTTTTTTTGCTCATTTTTGAAGAAAAGGGAAGAAAAAAAATCTCTGTCATCTTGTTGAACAGTAAGAACCCCTCGTTCAAAAATCCCCAGTAGGGCTCCTTCGTCTGCAGACAATGGGTGGTTGTGTGAAGATAAGAAAAACATGATGCTTTCTCTTTTTTTCCTTTAAGCTCTGCTAAATCAGACCAGTGTTTTGTCTAGTCTATCCATCGTTCCCAAACAACTTTACTGCTAGTGTGGTGAAGGGGCTGTCTGTTACTGCCGTGATGTTTTTCTTTGTTTCATAAAGCACCAGAAATGGACATAAGGCAGAATCCCTCTGTTGCTCCCCAAGGCAAATACTTGGAAGCCAGGCTGCCTTCCAACCTGGGAGTTTCATGCCAAGACCAAAGAAAAGTTGTAAATTTCAGATTGTTAAGTCCTGTTTCAAGCCAGCTCAGCTACTGGATTTCACAATATCTTCTGATACTCTAAATTGCATCCTGCGTGAAGTTCTTTCATTGCGTAGGCTTTCTCAGAAGAGGTTGGAATGACCTTTCTTAATCACTAAATCTGTGAGAGGTCCCACCTTTGGACCTGGGGATCCTTTGGATCCTGTTCTTCTCAGTGAGTCTTGTCACGTTTAATCTTTATTTCCTTTTCCTCCAAGGGGTTCTGTCCACCAGAGTCAGACTGATTTCACCTTCTTTGCGGGGAACCTTGTCAACCGGGTCTTCAGAACAAGAGGTACCATTGATCCCTATGAAGGCCTGAATATCACCAACCGGGCTGCTCTCGCTTTCTTACAAAAACATCTCCGTAAGTCAATATTGTGAAAGTTGTTTCTTACTCTAAGAGACATCACCCTATAAATAACAAGCCACCCACCAGACAAAAGGCAAAAGTCAGCTAGGTTGGTGGAGAGCATTCGCGGTGGGGACTGAGGAGAGCCAATTTCACCAGTTTGCCTTCTCCTAAGTGGGTGTACTTACTCTGCATGCGACAATAACTTTTTTATGACTGGGCAAACCCTTCTGAGCAATTTCCAGGAAGTGTCACAATATGCTCTCAAAATTCCAAATAGGCCACCTGCTCAAAAAGATGCTCTACCCCCTCTAGTAAAAATTTCACTGCATAATACACTTGAAGACTCAGAAGTGATGATGGTGGTAATAACAGTCTTTACAGCTTAGCACCAGATCTGCTTGGTGCAATAACTCTTTCATTTCTCCATCTAGAGCTCAAAGAAGATTTTGACCAGTGGGATAATCTTCTGGAAGGCATTGGTGACTTGGTGGTTCCGGATAGTCCCCTGACAAAGTCTAGCCTCTAGGCAAGAAATATCTCGCCCCCAAATTGTTTTGGGGATCTTCTGGGTTTGGGGGTTTTTTCCCTTCCTTTGAAGGGATGGAAAGCACCCTTGGTGCAAAATTGTTCTCCAGGTGCTGGACATTCTGCAGAATTGCTCTTCATGATGATGGACATTTTGCTGAGATCTCCTGCTGTGACGGCTCCTCTTCTTTAGGAAGCTTCTGCTGCCTAGAAACGTTTTGAGTTTCCTTAAATATACCTCTCGTTCCGCCAGGACTACCTCAAGGCCTTAAAAAAGGGAAGAATCTCATTGTGAGTGAAGAAATCGAAATAAGTTGAGGAGGTGGGGGGGGTGCAATCCTCAGGGAATTTCCTTGCACTTTAAAGTAAAATATAGCAGGAAAACAGCATAGATATTTACTATAGATTCTTGATAGCATCCTTGTCTAACTTGCATTCCAGCAACCAGAGAAGGAAGGACTACCATGGTCTAAAGCTGCTAATTACAATTATGAAGCTGGACTGAGAAGATTGCTCCTTTCTAACTATCTTGCAGGGTAGGAAGAAGGAATATACAATCTTGGCATGATGTTGTGTCATGCCTAGCCCAAGAACAACAGGGAAACAGTCCAGCCAAATTCATTTGTTTTATTGCTTACACCATATAGGCAGAATTTTGCCAGACTAAATCTGTACTAATCTAACCTAGTAGATATACCCTGGGAGATTCTAGGGAGTGGCTACCTTAAATCTCCTTCTCTTCCCATGCTCCTGCTCTGGTCTGTGCTGCCTCTTCTCTCCCCCCACCCCCAAAATGTGCTCCCTCCTTCCTGAGAACCTGGTGCTCTGTTGCATTCCATCACATTGTGGGAGAAAATCTGTATAGAAAGGGTTTCTCAACCTCAGCAACTTTAAGATGTGTGGACTTCAACTCC